CCCACAGCCCTCACCCCTCCTCCTCCCGCGGTCCGCGGGCTCCACCAAGCGCCCACCGCTGCGCTGCGGCGCGACGGCCTGGGCCTGGAACCCGTTCTGAACCCGGGCCTCGGGTGCCGTGGGGATGGGGCCGGGAGCGCGGCCGAGAGAGGTCAGGGTCAGCTCGCAGGCGCTCCCGACTCCCTGCCCCGCGGCCACTCCCGCGCGTCCCCGCCGCCCCAGGACCGTCCCGAGACACTCGGGGAAACGCCTTTCCTGTGATGCCGCGGACCCGGTCCTCTCGCGGACACGGCGGGGCGGGACCGGGGTCGCAGCGTCCAGGCGGCGCGGGCCTCAAGGCGGCGGACCTCGTTAGCATATATTTGCATAGCCCCGCCCCGCCGCTTGAGACTGCCGCGCGGGGCTCAGTCCGGCGGGGGCGCCGCGGAGAGCGGAGGGCGCGGGGCTGCGGAGCGCCGAGCGGAGGGCGCGGGACCTCTCTTCTGCACGCCGCCCGCGGGCCCATGTGAACGCCATGCGGCGCCGCGCAGCCCGGGGACCCGGCCCGCCGCCCCTGCCGCCCCCAGGGCCTGGCTCCGCCGCTGCCGCTGCTGCCGCTGCTGGCGCTGGGGACCTGCGGGCTGCGCTGCGCCCGCGCCCGCGCCGCGCGCCGAGGACCTCAGCCTGGGAGTGGTGAGCGCGCGGCCGAGGGCGGGTGGCCGGGACGGGGCGTGGAGCTCCTGGGCCGGAGTCGGGTCCCCGCGGCCGGGTGGCGGGACCGGGAAGACCTCAGCAGGTGCGCGTCGGCGTCGCGCGGGAGCCCGGGCGCCCTGGACCCATTTCCTGGGTGGGGAGACTGAGGCTGGGGCGTGGGCTGAGCGGCCGGGCGAGCGCACGCGAGTCCTAGGGAGGCGCCGGCTGCCGTCCTGGCCCGCGCTCGGACGCGCGCAGCCTCAGGAGCCCGTGGAGTTGCTGAGGGTCGCCCACTCCGGAGCCTGGTCCCCTTGCAGCAGCCCCAGAGCAGCCGGGTGGGCGAGAGCAGGCACAGCGGCCGCCCGAGCCCTGCGCGCTGCGTGCGCTCCGGTGTGGGAGTGGCAGGAGCACGCACCTGGCTAAAGCGAGGAAGGGCAGAGGCTGCGGAGTGGGGCACCCCGAAAGCCTTGAGCCCTGGGAGAGTTTGCTCGGCTGAGGGTGTTGGGGGCCAGGAAGTCGGCCCCAGCCTCACCACTGGGCAAGGACCTGGCCTCCAGCCTCTTTCCTCCACTCCCAGGTCGGCCAGGCTGGCTCCTGCCTGGGCCCTGGTACAGTACTCGAGCCGGGGCGGGAGAGCCTTCCCTCACCCCCACACCCGGCCGCTGTCCGCAGCTCAGCTTGGAAACCCTGCCTGGGGGCAGCGGACGTGGTCTCTTCCCACAGCCCTCCCCTGTTCCGCAGCCGACTTGGCGTCTCCTGTGGACCCGGAAGACTTAGAGCAGACGCCGTGGGTCAGTGCCCCCAGGTGGGGCGTCGGGTGGACTCGGCTGGGTTCACCGGTTCCTTCTGAGGTTCCTACCCGCCGCTGCCTTCACTGCACTCCTACCCAGGGAGTTGGGCCAGGAGCCGAGGCCTCCCTGCCCCGCACAAGTGTTCGGCCCCGGCTCGCCCTCGTGGACAGTCTCCCCGTGAGTCCTGACAGGGCTCCCCGCCCAGCGCAGTGGACATTCAGGAGCTCCAAAACCTTGGGGTCCAAGCAAGTCAGCGCAGGTGGATTTGGTGGGCAGTTTTAGGCATTTTGAGGGACTACTTGGGTGGCACCCGCAGCTCCCTGTTTTTGCAGGACTTGGCCAGGGGGTCTGGATGGGAAGCCGGTTTGGCCACCGTTTGCCCCAGGCCCCGAAGCCATCTGGGAGGGTGCTGGCCACTGCCCCTGCTGCCCGCGTCCAGATGCCTGCAGGTCCCCACAGTGACTTCCTTCCAGCCAGGCAGCCTGTGAACTTGGGGTGCCTCCCCACCTCCTCAAGACCCCTTTGTAGCTGGGGGTCTCCCGGATCCCCCACTGAGAAGCACGCCCTGGGGACATAGTGTTTCCAGCTCTGAGGGAGGTGGAACCCAGGCCAGCCTTCCAGGTCCAGTGGTGTTAGAGAAGGACTGGGTCAATGCCAAGGAAGACTCCAAGCAGTGCCTACACACTCAGGAGGATGGACCCCCTCGGTCGAGCCATGTTGGCTGATCAGACCTGGCGCGGTTTGGAAGTTTCTTACCACCCACCTGCCCACCTGCTCGGAAAGAGTGGGTCAGGTGCCCTGCTCCGGCTGGTACCTGTGCCTGGGTCTCTCCTGGCACTCTGCTGAGCTCACCGCCCGCCGCCCCTGTGGAGCAGCACTCGAGTTGGAGGATGTACCCCAGCCTGGCCGGGGCAGTGAGTGGGGCCCCGGTGTCCAGCCGGAGAGGGAGGACTCTGCAGGAAGCCCCCTGCCTGGAGCCCTCCAGGGTCCCACCCGGCCTGGCCTGGCATGGAACTCCGTCCCTGCCCTTTCAGCCTCCTGCTCACACTGGCGGTGCAAGGGCCTCTGCTGGCCACCCTCGGGGGAACTGCGGCCGAGCTCAGGCCCAGGGGCAGGCGGCTTCCCCTCGGGCAGGGATGGGGAGGCAGGATCTGGACGGGAGGGGGATTCCTCCACTGCCCTCTCCAGAGGGGCTCCCGGAGCTGACTGAAATTCAGGTCTGGGCGCCAGGGAGGAGAAGGGCTCCTTTGTCTCAGGACCCGCCCTGCAGACAGAGCTGCACCCAACAGGGCTGAGCCGCGGCTGGAGGGGAGGGCTCCGCCCGAGCGCCCCCATTAGCACGTGAACAAGGCCGGGATTCAGACTGCTGGGCGGCGGGAGCCGGGCTTTCAGGAGCCCTGGTGGGAACAAAGAGCGCACTGTCCCCCGGGGTCCTCAGGCAGGGCCAAAGGTCCTGTGGGGCCTGAATTTTTGTCTTCCTGTGTTTTGAGTACAACATACAACGAGCAGCCCAGGGTCTCCACAGGCGTCCGCTCCCCGCCTGGCTCCTGGGCATGGATGGGACGCGGCTCTCGGTGCCTTATTTTGCACGGTGGCACCGTGCTGCCCGTGGGCCGTGCCATTCCGTCACTATCTGGAGGTCTGTGCAGGAGCCACCGTCTATTCACCTGGTTCAGCCAGGCTGGCCTGCAGCCTGGCCACCGTCTATCTGGCCTGTCTAGCCAGGCTGGCCTGCAGCCTGGCTCTGGCCGAACTTCGACTCGCCGAGAGTGTCTTGGGTTCTGGGTCCCGGGTGGCAGTTGTGTGGTGGCAGATTTTGACAAACTGTGCTCCAGTTTCTGTTCCATTTCTCCTCTCGGCATCACAGCCTGTGGCTGTCATCGCCGCCCCCACGGCACAGTGGCAGCTCCCTTGATCTTCTGCACGAGGTGGGGTGGGCGGGGTGGGTGGATATTGCTGAGGTTAGGATGCTGGGCCAGATGGCACCACAGGTGGCAGCGCTCCACATCCCCCCTGGCCTCTGCCGGTGGCCTCTGCTCCTGGCCCTCAGACTTGTCATCACCCTCTGGCTGGGGCCAGGTGTCCCCTGCAGCTGCTCCCAGAGCTTCAGGCTTACACCCCAGCCAAAACCAAGACCGCAGGAATGGCACGCTGGCCTGGTTTCGCCGTGAGAGACGCCTGAGTGTCCCTTGCTCCGAGGTCCCTTTCTGGACAGCCATCTTCATGGCTCCAGAGATGTTGTTTCTCTTGGACGTGGGCTGTGCGACCCGACTGTCAGGCCTCAGTCTCCCTGTCTGTACAATGCTGGGGTCAGTGAGACAGCGTTTTAAGACTTGGGATGGAGGTGGTTCTCCGATGGCTCAGGAACAGGAAGTGGGGAAGGCTGAGAGGATCTTTAGCGGGGACGGGAAGGGGAAGGCTGGACAGATCTTGGGGATGGAAGGGGGAAGGCTGACAGGATCTTTGGGGAATGGGAAGGGGGAAGGCTGGACAGGATCTTGGGGAATGGGAAGGGGGAAGGCTGAGAGGATCTTGGGGGACGGAAGGGGGAAGACTGGAGAAGATCTGGGGGATGGGGAAGGGGGAAGGCTGGAGAGGATCTGGAGGCACAGCAGGGTATTCCCCTGACACAGTGTCTTCCTGGGGGCTCCACTTTGCACATGCGTGAGTTTGCCTCCTTGTTGGCAGCAGATCCAGCGGGACGCTTGCCCTGGCTGTGGACGCAGGGTGGGTGTCAGACACATGCAGGATGGCACTTCTGTCATGCAGTGGCTGTGAGCCTCCTGGGCACCCGCCTCTGGGATTTGGGCCCTCCTGGGCACTGTCTGGGTGGGACAGGATGGCAAGGACAGGACGGGGTGGTCTTGGGCAGGGTGTGGAGCCCGGCTTCCTTGCAGACCCTGCAGTAATAGACAAGTCCCCTCCTCATATTGGCCCCAAGGGCCCCACGCGACCTGGCCCACCTCCTCCTTCTCCGTCCCGCCTCTTGACTCTGTCCCGCCTGGCTCCTGCGCTGTGTGTGTTTCCCTGCCTAAGGGCCTTTGCCTGCTGGTTCCCACCACCGTGAGCACGTGAGCAGCACCCCCGCATCACCTGGACAGTTCCTTCCGTGCCCCCAGGATGTTCCCTGAGCACTCATTTCATCAGCCCTCCAGCCCGTCCCTCACACCTGCATAGCACAGTGGTCACAAGCGGAGACCCTGTAGCCAACAGCCTGGGCTGTTGGCTACAGCCTGAGTGGACGGGGCATCAGTGACGTGGGCGTGGTTGGGTAGTGCTGGTAATTGTTGGCCAGTTAGGTCGAGAGCAGTTCTTACTATTCAGGACGTAACGACCACCTGAGACTCATGTATGTGTTCAGGTAAGCCATATTTATCCTCCTCACAATTCGCCCTATGGGAAGGGGGAAGGCTGGACAGGATCTTGGGGGAATGGGAAGGGGGAAGGCTGGAGAGGATCTTGGGGGGACGGGAAGGGGGAAGACTGGAGAAGATCTGGGGGGATGGGAAGGGGGAAGGCTGGAGAGGATCTGGAGGCACAGCAGGGTATTCCCTGACACAGTGTCTTCCTGGGGGCTCCAAGGGCACTTTGCACATGCGTGAGTTTGCCTCCTTGTTGGCAGCAGATCCAGCGGGACGCTTGCCCTGGCTGTGGACGCAGGGTGGGTGTCAGACACATGCAGGATGGCACTTCTGTCATGCAGTGGCTGTGAGCCTCCTGGGCACCCGCCTCTGGGATTTGGGCCCTCCTGGGCACTGTCTGGGTGGGACAGGATGGCAAGGACAGGACGGGGTGGTCTGGGCAGGGTGTGGAGCCCGGCTTCCCCTGTGGACCCTGCAGTAATAGACAAGTCCCCTCCTCATATTGGCCCCAAGGGCCCCACGCGACCTGGCCCACCTCCTTCTCCGTCCCGCCCCTTGACTCTGTCCCGCTGGCTCCTCTGCGCTGTGTGTTTCCCTGCCTAAGGGCCTTTGCCTTGCTGTCCCCACCACCGTGAGCACGTGAGCAGCACCCCCCGCATCACCTGGACAGTTCCTTCCGTGCCCCCCAGGATGTTCCCCGAGCACCCATTTCATCAGCCCTCCAGCCCGTCCCTCACACCTGCATAGCACAGTGGTCACAAGCGGAGACCCTGTAGCCAACAGCCTGGGCTGTTGGCTACAGCCTGAGGGACGTGGCATCAGTGACGTGGGCGTGGTTGGGTAGTGCTGGTAATTGTTGGCTGTTAGGGTCGAGTAGAGCAGTTCTTACTATTCAGGACGTAACGACCACCTGAGACTCATGTATGTGTTCAGGTGTTTGCTATTTATCCTCCTCACAATCCCGTCCTCTGCTGTGGGCAGTGGGATGGGTTCCCGTGGTCTCAGCCTCTCCCCAATTGCTCAGACAGACTCAGGAGGTCTGGCAGTGTCCCTGGGGAAGAGGCTGGAGCAAGGGGGTCACTCCAACCGAGGGTCAGCCCCTAGAGGAGGCTGGTGCAGGGGAACCCCGCATAGCCAAGTGGGTCAGACATGGTTGCTGGGACCAGACCACGGCTCCATCACTGACCGTGTGCTATGTGACCGTGAACAGGTTATCCACACTCTCTGAGCCTTAGTTTTCTCATCTGTAAAATGGGGCTGATGACACCTGCTCTCCCCACCCCCAGGCCCCGTGCAGGTTGGGTCACAGATGAGTATGGGGGTCGGGCCCAGGCACCACCCCCATGGCACAGCAGGGCCACAGATGCACCCACCAGCCAGGGTGTCCTGGGCGGGAGAGGCCGTTACAACCAATCAGCGCAACCCAGAGCCCGAGGACAGTGGTTGCACTCCATAAACAACTCCGTAAAAACCATAAACTCCCTAAAAACCGTCAAAGGGAATTCTGTGCTGTGTGCATTACGCCCCCTTGAGGCTGGAGACAGATACGCGTTGTGTCAGACAACAGGCGTGGCTGAACGGTAGATCCGGAGTGGGCCAGGGCGGCTGCAAGCGTCTGCACCAGAGTCAGGGGCTGCGGGAGCCCACTTCCTGCCGGTGCCCCCCGGGCAGGGCTCTGCCTCTGGCCTCTGTGTCCCCATCTTTGGTAATGGCCCAGCCCATGGGAGGAGCAGGAGAGCGACCGCCTCACTTAGGCAGCTCCAGAAACTATCATCAGCCAGGGGGTGGCTGCTGTGGGTTGGGCTCCCTAGAGCTCCCGGCGGCCCCTCCCGCCTCCTCCCTCCTCCCGGCAGCCCCTCCGCTTCCCCAGTGGCCTTCTGGAAGGTTCACCCTGCTGCTGCTGCAGCACCCGCCCGCCACAGCCTCCGTTGCCCTGGAGACAGCGGTCTCCGTGGCGACAGCAGAGGGAGGACCAGGCAGCGGGTGGGCGTGGAGGGGAGCAGGTAGCAGGTTCCCAGGATCAGACGCCCCCCGGCCTGCGTGGGATCCACAGGCTCTGTAGGTACTGGGGGCAGGAGGCGGGGAGGAGGACACCTGGAGGGCGGGGTCTGGGCCCCCACCCCAGTGGCCATCACACAGCAGGCATCCCCCTACCCGCTGTGGGTGGGAGTGGGTCAGGGTAGAGCCTAGCGGGGAGGAGGGGCCGCCACATTTGCCCTGAGGTGCTGGCTCGGGGGGCTTTGCCCCAGGACCATGCTCCGGGCCTGGTTAACCCCTCCTCCCCTTAGCTAACAAGCCCATCTTGCCGCCACTGCCACCCCATTACCTGCGTGGACATTTCCAAGCCCTGGCCGGGAATCGGCCACCCTCCCAGATGGGCCTGAGCTGCCTGGTGAGCTGCTTGCTGCCTCTTCCCTGCAGGCTCAGGCGTCCCCACAGCTGCGCCTCTGCCCCCGCTGGGAGCACAGGACGGGTCAGGGCTGGGCGAGGGCACCTGGTGGGCTTAGGAGGCCCCCTGGGGCAGGTGGCCACTTCTACCTGTGTCTACCCGAAGGCTGGTGGCTCCCAAACCTGCAAGGCTTGTTCTGTCGGGGTGCCCCTGGCAAACTAGGAAGTAGTTCCCACCCTCCCACTCCAGCCCCCCAGACGGCCCCTCCCAGGATGCCTAGCCTGAGACTGGGGGCACAGCCCCCTGAGCACAGGCTCGTGTTAGGTAGGAGGCACCCGCCAGCGACCCACCACCCCCCAAGATTCCACGGCATTCTGTGCTCAAATTCCAGTGCTCCTGGGGCCACGGTGACAGTGCCTGTTGACTGTGGGCGGGGCTGCCTGTCCCGGGCTGGCCCCAGAGCAGACCAGCTGCTCACACCTGCGGCTAAACCACCTGCTTCCAAAGTTGGGCAACATTCCACAGCCACCAGGAGTGCTGCCTGCCAGGCCCAGCTCCGCTTTCCTGAAGCACATGTGGCGCTGTGGCTGCCCAGCTCCCCAGGGACCAGAGGGAGGGGTGCTCCAACCCGCTGCCATGAACCCCACAGAGTAAATGGGCCGCTTAGTGCAGTCACCAGCTGTTACCCCACTTGTAGATAGGAAGGCTGGGGGCTGGGTTGTCCTCCCAAGGGGTCTCAGCGCCCGCTGGCCCAACCCAGGCAGCAGCTGGCCTGGGTGGGAAAAGCACCTGCCTGTATGGATTCTTCCCTGGTGAGGAGGCAGGGAGTCATCATCCAGTATCATAGATGGTGTGAGGAAACTCCAGAGGGCTTCCTGGAGAAGGTGACAGGCTATTGTAACCATGAGGCACAGTGGCCCTGTTGAGCTGTGATCTTAACAAAGGACTAAAAAGTGCACATATTTAATGCAGAATTTGCTGATGGACATCTCTAGCACCTAGAGCGGTGACTTGCCATGGGACACCCTCAGTAAACCCTGCATGTGCACGGTAGTGTGGGGCGGGACACTCGCGGCCAGAGATCCCACACCCTGTCAGTAAACCCTGCGTGTGCAATCCCGTCCTCCGCTGTGGGGCAGTGGGATGTTCCGTGTCTCAGCCTCTCCCCAATTGCTCAGACAGACTCAGGAGATCTGCAGTGTCCCTGGGGAAGAGGCTGGAGCAAGGGGGGGTCACTCCAACTGAGGTCAGCCCCCAGAGGAGGCTGGTGCAGGGGAACCCCGCATAGCCAAGTGGGTCAGACATGGTTGCTGGGACCAGACCACGGCTCCATCACTGACCGTGTGCTATGTGACCGTGAACAGGTTATCCACACTCTCTGAGCCTTAGTTTTCATCTGTAAAAATGGGGCTGATGACACCTGCTCTCCCCACCCCCAGGCCCGTGCAGGTTAATACAGATGAGTATGGGGGTCGGGCCCAGGCACCACCCCCATGGCACAGCAGGGCCACAGATGCACCCACCAGCCAGGTGCTCCTGGGCGGAGAGGCTGTTACAATCCAATCAGCGCAACCCAGAGCCTGAGTGACAGTGGCTGCACTCCATAAACAACTCCGTAAAAACCATAAACTCCCTAAAAACCGTCAAAGGGAATTCTGTGCTGTGTGCATTACGCCCCTTGAAGCCGGAGACAGATACGCGTTGTGTCAGACAACAGGCGTGGCTGAACGGTAGATCCGGGAGTGGGCCAGGCGCTGCAAGCGTCTGCACTGCACCAGAGTCAGGCTGCCGGAGCCCAGCTCCTGCCGGTGCCCCGGGGCAGGGCTCTGCCTCTGGCCTCTGTGTCCCCATCTTTGCAATGGCCCAGCCCATGGGAGGAGCAGGAGAGCAGTGCCCAGAAACTATCATCAGCCAGGGGGTGGCTGCTGTGGGTTGGGCTCCCTAGAGCTCCCGGCGGCCCCTCCCGCCTCCTCCCCTCCTCCCTGGCAGCCTCCGCTTCCCCCAGTGGCCTTCTGGAAGGTTCACCCTGCTGCTGCCGCAGCAACGCCCGCTGGCAGCCTCCGTGCTCTGGAGACAGCGGTCTCCGTGGCGACAGCAGAGGGAGGACCAGGCAGCGGGTGGGCGTGGAGGGAGCAGGTAGCAGGTTCCCAGGATCAGACGCCCCCGGCCTGCGGGATCCACAGGCTCTGCAGGTACTGGGGGAGGCGAGGAGGACACCCGGAGGGCAGGGTTCAACCCCCACCCCAGTGTGGCCATCACACAGCAGGCAACCCCTACCCGCCTGTGGGGTGGGAGTGGGTCAGGTAGAGCCTGGCGGGGGAGGAGGCCGCCATTTGCCTGGGAGTGAGGTGCTGGCTCGGGGGCTTTGCCCCAGGACCATGCTCCGGGCCTGCTAACCCTCCTCCCCTTAGCTAACAAGCCCGTCTTGTGCCGCCACTGCCACCCCATTACCTGCGTGACATTTCCCAAGGCCCTGGCCGGGAATCGGCCACCTCCCAGATGGGCCTGAGCTGCCTGGTGAGCTGCTGCTGCCTCTTCCCTGCAGGCTCAGGCGTCCCCATGAAGCTGCGCCTGCGCCAGCTGGGAGCACAGGACGGTCAGGCCGGGCGAGGGCAATCTGGTGGGCTTAGGAGGCCACCCCCCCGGGGCAGGTGGCCACTTCTCCGTGTTCACCCGAAGGCTGGTGGCTGCCTCAACCTGCAAGGTTTGTTTGTCGGGGTGCCCCTGGCAAACTAGGGAAGTAGTTCCCACCCTCCCACTCCAGCCCCAGACGGCCCCTCCCAGGATGCCTAGCACAGCCCCTGGAGCACAGGTGGCTCGTGTTAGGTAGGAGGCACCACAGCGACCCACCACCCCCCAAGATTCCACGGCATTCTGTGCCTGGGGAATTCCAGTGCCCCTGGGGCCACGGCACAGTGCCTGTTGACTGTGGGCGGGGCTGCTGCCTGTCCCGGCTGGCTCCCAGAGCAGACCAGCTGCTCACACCTGCGGCTAAACCACCTGCTTCCAAAGTTGGGCAACATTCCACAGCCACCAGGAGTGCTGCCTGCTGTGCCCAGCTCCTCCGCTTTCCTGGAAGCACATGTGGCGTCAGGCTGCCCTAGCCCCCAGGGACCAGAGGGAGGGGTGCTCCAACCCGCTGCCATGAACCCCACAGAGTAAGCTGGGGCCGCTTTTAGTGCAGTCACCAGCTGTTACCCCCACTTGTAGATAGGAAGGCTGGGGCTGGGTTGTCCTCCCAAGGGGTCTCAGCGCTCATGGCCCAACCCAGGCAGCAGCTGGCCTGGGTGGGAAAAGCACCTGCCTGTATGGATTCTTCCCTGGTGAGGGGGCAGGGAGTCATCATCCAGTATCATAGATGGTGTGAGGAAACTCCAGAGAGTCATCATCCAGTATCATAGATGGTGTGAGGAGACTCCAGAGGGCTTCCTGGAGAAGGTGACAGGCTATTGTAACCATGAGGCACAGTGGCCCTGTTGAGTCAAGGTGTGATCTTAACAAAGGACTAAAAAAATTTATTTAATGCAGAATTTGCTGATGGACATCTCTAGCACCTAGAGCGGTGACTTGCCATGGGACACCAAACCCTGCATGCACGGTAGTGTGGGGCGGACACTCAAGGCCAGAGATCCCACACCCTGTCAGTGCAAAAACCTCCTGCGTGTGCATGGTAGTGTGGACTGACAGTCGTGGCCAGAGATCCCCACACCCTGTCAGTAAACCCCTGCGTGTGCACGGTAGTGTGGGTCGACACCCCGGCCAGAGATCCCACACCCTGCCGTGTGCCCCGCGGGTGCACGCCGTAGTGTGGGGCCGGACGCCTCGTCAGAGATCCCACACCCGTCAGTAAACCCTGTGTGTGCACGGTGTGTGGGGCCAGACACTGGGGCCAGAGATCCCACACCCTGTCAGCAAAACCCCGCGTGGTGCACGGTAGTGTGGGGCCGGACACTCGCCGCCAGAGATCCCACACCCTGTCAGTAAACCCTGTGGGTGGCCGGGGTGCACGGTAGTGTGGGGCCGGACGCTCACGGCCAGAGATCCCACACCCTGGAGGTCGGGGTGGAAGTGGGAAGCCAGCCTGTCGGGGCCAAGGCTGTCACCCTCAAGGCCCCTCCAGAGAAGCTGCCCTCCCCAGTCATGAATGCCCACTTTGATGTCCTGTCATGCCTAGAGCCTTGGAGGGGCCCCCAGACCCGAGGGCTTTCCAGGCTCCCCCCGTTCTGTACACACTCTTGGCTTCCCCTCAGGGCTGAGGGGCTGGGCTGGGTCAGTAGGGTTTGGAGAGGGGGTAAAGGCACAGAGGGAAGGCCCCAGGAAGGACTCAGTGGTTCCTGGAAGAGGGATCTCGGGGTGTGCAGATCCCATGCAGTGTCTTGTGCGGCCCCTCCTGGCCGGCACGGCCTGTTGCTGATGCCCCTGGGACTCCCAGGTGGACGGTGCCTTGCTCCTCTGAGCACTGCCTGCTGGTGGGCAGGAGGGTTGCCCAGCCACCCTGTCACCAGCTCCTGCAGACCAGAACCCGGGTCCCAGCAGGTAGCATAAATGAGTCACAAGCATTTTGTTTTTTCTTTTTTTTTTTTCTTAAGGATTTCTTTAAAAAGTTACTTTATTCATTTATGCATTTTTTTAGGTTAAGCCACATGAAACTACTAGTATTTATTTTAAATCAGAGAAATGATCAAAAATGGGTGCTTTCATATGGTTTGGCCAATGAATCCATGAGAGGTGGTAAATAATAGTGATTCACAGGCCAGGCGCGGTGGCTCAAGCCTGTAATCCCAGCACTTTGGGAGGCCGAGGCGGGCCGATCACGAGGTCAGGAGATCGAGACCATCCTGGCTAACACGGTGAAACCCCGTCTCTACTGAAAAATACAAAAAACTAGCCGGGCGAGGTGGCGGGCGCCTGTAGTCCCAGCTACTCGGGAGGCTGAGGCAGGAGAATGGCGTGAACCTGGGAGGCAGAGCTTGCAGTGAGCTGAGATCACGACACGACACTGCACTCCAGCCTGGGCGACAGAGCAAGACTCCATCTCAAAAAAAAAAAAAAAATAGTGATTCCCAAGCATTTTCTAAATGCCCAACAGAGAGAAAAAAAAAGACAGGTCTGCAGGCAGGGCAGAGCCCCCAGCACGTCATCCCTGGCTTGTACCTTTCTGGAGCCCGCCTCACCCGTGCTGTGGTTCCCTGGGCTGACGAGTGTCCACAGGGCGGAGCTGGAGCTTCATGGCAACCTGCAAGTGGGCACAGGTGCCATTTGGTGGTTGAAGAAACTGAAGCTAGGGGTGGAGGTAGCCCCCACAGATGGCATCCAGGCCCCCCATCGCCAGGTCCCCATGATGGCACCCAGGTCCCCACAGATGCCATCTGAAGCTTAGGGGTGAGGTAGCCCCCACAGATGCAATCCAGGCCCCCCACCGCCAGGAAAGGTCCCCATGATTTGGCACCAGGTCCCCAGATGCCACATCCAGGCTCCCCTGTCCCTGGGGTCTCCAGGGTAGCCACTCCATCGCCAGGTCCCCATGATGGCACCCAGGTCCCCACAGATGCCATCCAGGCCCCCCTGTCCCTGGGGCCCCTCCAGGGTAGCAGAGGTGACTGGGGTATGGGGCCAGGGCTTGATTTGTGCCCAGGTTAAAGGGCTGCCCCCATTCCTGCTCCTGCTCAGCTCCAGTGTGGGTAGCCTCCCACTCACCCCAGTAGGCCCTTCAGAGCAGAGCTGTCCCCTACGCCAGGTGCTGGTGTGAACGTTTTCCACATCCTGGCTCACATCCTCACCACCAGCTTGCCAGAGACTCTGAGGAAGGAGCCCAGAGGGATGGACTGCCTTGCCCCAGGCACACAGCGGGGAGGTGGCCGAGTGGGATTTGAACCTGGGCAGCCTGGCTAGAACCTGGCTTTTGTTTCTGAGACAGTCTCGCTCTGTTGCAGTCACAGCCTCCAACTCCTGGGCTCAAGCGATCCTCCCGCCTCAGCTTCCCAAAGCGCTGGGATCTCAGCCATGAGCCACAGCGCCAGCCACACCTGGGCTCTTATCTCCCCCATGAATGAACAGCATGGCCCAATTCCTTAATCTGGTGTCTGAGCCACTTCCTTTCTCAGCTGGGGTCCCAGACCTTGGGTCCTAGACTGCTGTGTCACAAGTCAGCTAAGAGCCTGCGTTTGACACTGGCCACATTTAAGAGCCTTTTGAAGGTTCCCTAGCATTTTGCGGTCTCAGGAGGCATGGGGTGGGGCAGGGTTGCCATGAGTGGTTGCACAGGTTGTGCACTGCACAAGCTCACATCATCTAAGGTACATCAGGTTTATTTATTTATTTATTTTATTTTTTAGATGGAGTCTTGCTCTGTTGCCTGACTGGAGTGCAGTGGCACTATCTCGGCTTACTGCAAGCTCCGCCTCCCGGGTTCACACCATTCTCCTGCCTCAGCCTCCCGAGTAGCTGGGACTACAGGCGCCCGCCACCACCCGGCTACTTTTTTGTATTTTAGTAGAGATGGGGTTTCACGGTGTTAGCCAGGATGGTCTCGATCTCCTGACCTCGTGATCCACCCGCCTCGGTCTCCCAAAGTGCTGGGATTACAAGTGTGAGCCACCATGCCCGGCCAGGGACGTCGGGTTTATTAAGACACTTTTCTGGCAACTGCCCAGGGAAGAGGCAAGAGGTGCCTTGTGGGCAGATAGGGGTCTGGGGTGGTGATCAGGGCTGGGAGGGGCCTGCCCCAAAACAGTGGTGGCCTGTGGCAGGCTTCTCGTTGGGTAGGACCGGGCCCTCTATCGCACCCCCTCACCCTGCTCTCTGCCCTCAGGAGTGGCTGAGCAGGTTCGGTTACCTGCCCCCGGCTGACCCCACCACAGGGCAGCTGCAGACGCAAGAGGAGCTGTCTAAGGCCATCACAGCCATGCAGCAGTTTGGCGGCCTGGAAGCCACCGGCATCCTGGGTCAGTTCTCCAGGGGGCAGCGGGAGCGCTGTGGCCCCCGTCAGGTCTGCACCAGTTGGCCATGCCCCCTCTGATCAGACACAGCCCACCTTATGCTTGAATGAACCTGGGTCCTGGCCTGGGGTAGTTCGGGGCCTGGGGCTGGTCCCCTGAAGATGATGTGGGAGGAGGGGGCAACTCAGAGGCTGGTGCCAGTGCCAGAGTCAGGGCTCCCGCCCTTGGGGGTACTCGGGATCCTAGGGTGGGGAGCGCACTGGGCTAGGCTCTGAGCTCCATGCACCCCTGCAGACGAGGCCACCCTGGCCCTGATGAGAACCCCACGCTGCTCCCTGCCGGACCTCCCCGTCCTGACCCAGGCTCGCAGGAGACGCCAGGCTCCAGCCCCAACCAAGTGGAACAAGAGGAACCTGTCGTGGAGGTGGGTGCGTGGCCAGGGTGAGGAGTGGGGCCCCCATGTCTCCGTATCTGGGCCTGCTGTGAGTATCCACAAATGGGGAGACTTCAGACAGCAGCAGGAGCTTTCTCCCCGCTCTGGAGGCCGGGAGTCCATGCAAAGGAGTGGGCAGGATGGTGCCCTGGGGAGGTAGAGGGAACATCTGTCCAGGGCTCTGTCCAGCTGTGCAGTGGCTGGCAGCCCTCGGTGCAATCGCCAGCTCTGCCTCTACCCTGCCCTGTCTGTGCCGCCTCGTCTCCCATGTCTCCAGGACGCTCCTTGGATTTAGGGCCCACCCGAATCCAGTGTGACCTCATGTCAACGCCTCATGACATCCACAAAGACCCTATTTCTCGTTTTTTTTTTTTTTTTGAGACAGAGTCTCACTTTGTCACCCAGGCTGAAGTGCAGTGGCACAATCACAGCTCACTGTGCCCTGACCTCCTGGGCTCAAGCAATCCTCCTGCCTCAGCCTCCCGAGTAGCTGAGACTACAGATCATATGACCACACCCAGCTAATTTTTTCTTTTTTTTTTTGACACAGAGTCTCGCTCTTTCACCCAGGCTGGAGGGCAGTGGTGCAGTCTTGGCTCACTACAACCTCTGCCTCCTGGGTTCAAGCAGTTCTCCTGCCTCAGTCTCCCACATAGGTGGGATTACAGGCACGAGTCACCACATCCGACTAATTTTTTGTATTTTTAGTAGAGACAGGGCCAGACATGTTGGCTCACGCCTGTAATCCTGGCACTTAGGCCAAGGCGGGCAGATCATATGAGGTCAAGAGTTCAAGACGGCCGGGCGCGGTGGCTCAAGCCTGTAATCCCAGCACTTAGGGAGGCCGAGACGGGCGGATCACGAGGTCAGGAGATCGAGACCATCCTGGCTAACACGGTGAAACCCCGTCTCTACTAAAAATACAAAAAACTAGCCGGGCGAGGTGGCGGGCGCCTGTAGTCCCAGCTACTCCGGAGGCTGAGGCAGGAGAATGGCGTGAACCCGGGAGGCGGAGCTTGCAGTGAGCTGAGATCCGGCCACTGCACTCCAGCCCGGGCTACAGAGCAAGACTCTGTCTCAAAAAAAAAAAAAAAAAAAAAAAAAAAACAAGCTAACCAGGTGGCCGTCTACTAAGAAAAAAGAGTAAACTGGCAGGCGGAAGTGGCGGGCCTGCGGGCCACAACCTCAGGGCCAGGGGAAAGGCTGCGTGGAGGAAACCCGAGGGCGAACGTGGGAAGCGAGTCAGGCACCACTGCACTCCAACGAGGAAACTCGAAGCAAGAGCTCTGTCCAAGTTCAAGACCAGCACTGGCCAACATGGTGAAACCCCATCTCTACTAAAAATACCAAAAATTAGCTGGGTATGGTGAGTATACTCCCCTGTAATCCCAGCTGTTCGGGAGGCTGAGGCAGGAGAATCACTTGGAGCCCTGAGGAGGTGAGGCTGCAGTGAGCCAAGAAGTTGTGTGCCACTGCACTCCAGCCTGGAGACATAGTGAGACTCTGTCAAAAAAATGACAATAGACAGAGGTTTCACCATGTTGGCCAGGCTGGTCTTAAACTCTTGAGCTCCAAGCAATCTGCCCACCTGGCCTCCCAAAGGAGTACAGATTACAAGTGCTGAAGCCACCACACAGCCAACCTGTTCAGGTCACAGTCAATTCGGGTGGACGTGAATTTGGCGGGAAACACCCATGTGACCCACACACACTGCTGATCCCGGGTCAAAACTGAAAAACCAGAGGGTCAGCACAAGATGTAGCAGAGCCCCGTGGCGTCCAGAGAGAGGCTCTTGGCTGGCAGGCAGCAGAGGGCTGGGCAGGCGGGGACTAAAAAAAAAAAAAAAAAAAAAAAAGAGTTCAAGACCAGCCTGGCCAACATGGTGAGACCCCATCTCTACTAAAAATACAAAAATTAGCTGGGTATGGTGATGTGCTCCTGTAATCCCAGCTGTTCGGGAGGCTGAGGCAGGAGAATCACTTGAACCTGGGAGGTGGAGGCTGCAGTGAGCCAAGGTTGTGCCACTGCACTCCAGCCTGGAGACATAGTGAGACTCTGTCTCAAAAAAATAAAATAGTAAAGACAGGGTTTCACCATGTTGGCCAGGCTGGTCTTAAACTCTTGAGCTCAAGCAATCTGCCCACCCTGGCCTCCCAAAGTGCTGGAGTTACAAGTGTGAGCCACCACCCCCAGCCAACCCTATTTCCAGGTCACAGTCTAAGGTTCCGGGTGGACGTGAATTTGGCGAGACACCATGTGACCCACACACCTTCTGCTGATCCCGGGTCAAAACTGGCTCAGAGGGTCCCTGGCTAGTGTGAGAGCTGGTGACCAGAGAGAGGCTCTTCGGCAGGCAGCACGGGGCTGGGGCAGATGGGACGCACCGCTGAGGGCCCGGGGGTGATGGCTCCACGTGGGAGCTGACGTTTGCCTGTGGCCTGGGGTTCTCAGCCTGCCTGGGCTCTCATTTCCCTCCCTCCCTCGTCCATCCTGGGTGAACCCCTGGGACCTCCATGGGTGCGTCGGATGACTCCTGGCACGGGGAGAAACGCGGAAGATGGGGGAGACCCTCGTAGCGGCACCCCCAGCTGAGGAGGGGCGTTCAGGGAACCTCGGCCTGGGGCCCGTGGCCTGTTCTCCGTGACTCTGGGCTGACCCCTGCCTACAGGGTCCGGACATTCCCACGGGACTCGCCGCTCGGGCGGGACACGGTGCGGGCACTCATGTACTACGCCCTCAAGGTCTGGAGTGACATTGCGCCCCTGAACTTCCACGAGGTGGCGGGCAGTGCCGCCGACATCCAGATCGACTTCTCCAAGGCCGACCACAATGATGGCTACCCCTTCGACGGCCCCGGCGGCACCGTGGCCCACGCCTTCTTCCCTGGCGACCACCACACTGCCGGGGACACCCACTTTGACGATGATGAGGCCTGGACCTTCCGCTCCTCGGGTGCGTCTGGAGCAGCCCTCGGGGCAGAGTCAGGAGCCCCAGCGGCCTGTGAGGCCAGGGAGCAGCCATGGCCCCCATCCCCAACCCCGCGGCTGAAAACACACACAGCTGCTGAGCACGGCTGGGCATTTCCCACTAGGCCGATCTCACAGCGTCTGTGCTCGCCCGGCTGACCTCACTGGGTGCTGGCCTGTCGGGCAGGGACACCGCAGCTGAGCCGAGCTTGTCCTCATCGCATTCTCAGCACCCGAGGGAGGGAGCAGGAGGAGGCGTGCGAGGCCTCTGTGGCCCTGGCTCTGTCACTCCCGCTAAGTCCCGTTGTCTGCAGAAGTCACGGCTCTGCAGAGGCTTTTCCGACCCCTGGACTGTGGCCTCGGGGACCATGCAGTCCTGGGAGCCCAGGCCCGTCGCGTGGGACCCGGGGGGCTGTGCCCACAGCATCGAGCCTCAGGTCAACCGGCCGACACCGGGCTCCACGTAACCCAGGGCCCAGGCACAAGGTGTTATCTGTGTGGCCTTGTGCAGAAAAGGTTATCAGCCCCTCCATGAATGCTGCAAAGACCCCAGGCCTGAGAAGCCCAGCAGGCCCCACAGAGCCCCCAGGGGAATTGCGTTAATTCCCAGTAACCCTGCAGAATCCATCTGGCGAAGCAGGCACCAGGGCATCCCCATGGGCACCCCAGCCCGGGCCCACCCTGACCCCATAGCATGGCGGGGGCCTGCTGATCCCTCCCCACAGGGACGGGGCCCTTCCTGCCCTTGGTTCACATGGCTCCCTATGTCCCCAGATGCCCACGGGATGGACCTGTTTGCGGTGGCTGTCCACGAGTTTGGCCATGCCATTGGCTTGAGCCACGTGGCTGCCACACACTCCATCATGCGGCCGTACTACCAGGGCCCAGTTGGCGACCCGCTGCGCTATGGGCTCCCGTATGAGGACAGGGTGCGTGTCTGGCAGCTGTACGGTGAGTGTCTCCCTGAAGCCAGACACGGCCCCGGAAGAGGGGTCAGAAATCCCAGGCACCCCCGAGCAGAGCTCCCCAGGAGGGTTTGCTGTCCCCTCTGTTCCCTCCACGTATGGTGCTGTGCCAGCTGGGACACTCCGGCCTGTCCACAGAGCCCATCCCTGATGTCCCCAGAGCCCCTGGGTCAGAATTCCACCTCTGTGCCCCAGACACTGATGGAGTTACGATAGGCGGGGTTGATGGTATCCCAGGCCTGTGCAAATCACATTTCATGTCTTAAATCATCTGATTTTTGTGGCCATATAAGGTAGGACTACTGTCCCCACTTTACAGATGAGAAAACTGAGGCACCCAGAGGTATGTAGATTGCCCAGGAAACCCAAGAGTAGCCGAGTCAGGCCCCAGGGACCCCTCTGCTGGGTTCACATTAGGAAGTGAGGCAGAGCCCCTGTCCTGGGAGCTGGTGCCCCAGGGAGACAGCACACATGCATCAGAGGCCAAGGCGGTCACCTCACTTATACCCAGCCCCAGCTCCCCCGACACCGCCCACCACACCTTGCAGTAGTGCTGTCCCCGCCACCCGGACCCCTCCTGACCTCAGCATCGTCCTCGCCACTTCATATGCTCTGACATCCATGCGTCATTTCCATTGTAGTAAAATTCACATCCCATGCAATTTGCCTGTTTGGCCGGGCACGGCAGCTCACACCTGTAATCCCAGCACTTGGGGAGTCCAAGGCGGGCGGATCACTTGAGGTCAGGAGTTTGAGACCAGCCTGACCAACATGGTGAAACTCCATCTGTACTAAAAATACAAAATTAGCCGGATATGGTGGCAGGTGCCTGTAATCCCAGCTACTCGGGAGGCTGAGGCAGGAGAATCACTTGAACCCGGGAGATGGAAGTTGCAGTGAGCCGAGATCGCACCACTGCCCTCCAGCCTGGGTGATAGAGTGAGACTGCCTGAAAAAAGAAAAAAGAAAGAAAGAAATTCACCATTTCAACGTGTGTACTTCCATGAGTTCAGGACATTCACAAGGTTGTGCAGACGCCACCTCTATCTGGTTCTAGAACTTTTCATCACCCATTACCACCAAAGGAGACCCGACACCCATCCCATCGCCCCAGGCAGCCACTGACCTCCTTTCTGTCTCCACAGATTGGCCCTAATGCAGCCATGCAACCTTTTGTGTCTGGCCTTTTTTTTTTTTTTTTTTAAGAGATGGGGTCTCACCATGTGGCCCAGGCTTGTCTCAAACTCCTGGGCTCAAGTGATTCTCCTGACTCAGCCTCCCGAGCAGCTGGGACTATAGGCATGCACCACCACATCTGGCTAATTTTTAAACTTTTTGTAGAAGTAGAGTCTCACCATGTTTCCCAGCTGGTCTCAAACTCCTGGGCTCAAGTGATTCTCTTGCCCTGGCCTCTGAAAGTGCTGGGAATACAGGCACGAACCACTGTGCCCAGCCCGGCTTCTTTCACTGAGCATACCGTGTTCCAGGTTCGCCCTGTGGTTGTGTGGATCTGAGCATAGCATGTTCCAGGTTCGCCCCGTGGTAGTGTGAGCATAGCATGTTCCAGATTTGCCCTGTGGCGGTGTGGATCTGAGCATAGCGTGTTCCAAGTTAGCCCATGGCCACGTGGATCTGAGCATAGCGTGTTCCAGGTTCGCCCTGTGGTCATGTGGATCTGAGCATAGTGCGTTCCAGGTTCGCCCCATGGCAGCGTGGATCTGAGCATAGCATGTTCCAGGTTCGCCCTGTGGTAGTGTGGATCTGAGCATAGCGTGTTCCAGGTTTGCCCCGTGGTGGCGTGGATCTGAGCATAGCGTGTTCCAGGTTTGCCCCGTGGTCTTATGGATCTGAGCATAGCGTGTTCCAGGTTCGTCCCATGGCCGTGTGGATCTGAGCATAGCATGTTCCAGGTTCGCCCCCGTGGCCGCGTGGATCTGAGCATAGTGTGTTCCAGGTTCGCCCTGTGGTAGCGTGGTTCTGACCTGGATTTCTTCTCATGGCTGAATAGTTTTGTCATCATGCAGCCTTGGCAGGCACTGGGTTGCCACCCCTGTTGGCTGCGGTGAACAGTGCTGTGAAGGCTGGTGTACGAGCTCCTGTGGGAACGCCTGTCTTCAGCAATTTAGGGTGTACACCGGGGTGGAATTGCAGGGCATTGCTCACACACTGAGTGTTTAACTCGGCGAGGGGTCTGACTCCCACCTCGACATCAACTCTGGGGGTGGCAGTCTCGCTGATTGCAGCTGTGCCCCCGCAGAGCCTGTCTGCTAAGTGGCCTTGGTTTCATCCCTGGGATTCAGAGGGGCTGGTGGGATGTGGGGGGAGGCGGGCGTCTGGGGTTTGAGGCCGTCCTCCTCCTTGTCTCCCGTAGGTGTGCGGGAGTCTGTGTCTCCCACGGCGCAGCCTGAGGAGCCTCCCCTGCTGCCAGAGCCCCCAGACAACCGGTCCAGCACCCCGTAAGCCCTGGGCCCATGGTTACCACCCACTGGGGTCTGTCTGTCCTCATCCCCATCCCAGGCAACATTTGCCCCAAATCGTGGCTCGGGGTCCTGGAAAACGGACAGCTGTGTGGCCGGATGAGCCCCAGTGAAATTGTGTCTTCTCTTAAACCCCTTCTAATACCAGCCCTGCCCTGCCAGGGGCCCCGCACAGAAATGACAGCTTCAAACAAGGTTTCCTCTCCCCATCGTCCGTGTCAGCTACTGCCACGTGACAAGCGGCCCAGCTTGATGAACGTTTCATCAAGCCCTTGGATTCCCAGCGTCAGGAAGTCAGATAGGGCCCGCGAGTGTCTGGCCTGTGCCCCCAGTGGCAGGGACGTTCACTGCCTGGGCTCACATCTGGGGCCAGGGCTGGGCCATCGGGGCTGCTCCACGAGGCATGACCCTCCCACGGCAACTGGATTCTGAGTGAAGTTGTCCTGACAGCTGGTATTGCCAGAGGCCGGTAGAAGCCGTGACCTCGTGTCACCGAGCCTCAGATGTCACGTGTGACCCTACCGGTTAAAGCTGTGAAGGAGCCACGCTCTGTGTTTCGAGTTATCTCTCGGTGGACATGCACCTTGTCCCTGATCTCCTGTTGTTACAGCCATGTAGCTGTGAACACGCTTCTCGTAGGACTGAGTTCCAGGCCTGGGCTTGGGGTCCCGTGGTGTGGTGTTTGGCGCTAGGCCCTGGGTGCTACACCAGTCTCCACGCCTGAGCTCCTGCCCTCCCCGCAGCTCCCTGGCGCTCTGTATGCTCAGAGCGTAGATCTTGCTCCCCGCCCGCCTAGTGAAGCGGTGGACAGGCACCCCCGTTTTAATTTGCCTTTCTCTTCAAGAGCAGACCCCTAGGCAGGGATAGGGGCTCCCCCCAAGAATGCACAGTCCCACACTGCTCAGGCCCTGCCTCCCAGCCCACCTGGCTCTCTCCCCGCAGGCCCAGGAAGGACGTGCCCCACAGATGCAGCACTCACTTTGACGCAGTGGCCCAGATCCGGGGTGAAGCTTTCTTCTTCAAAGGTACCCCCAGGGTCCCCGTGGCGGTGGGCAGAGAGGCATGGCCCACTGTGGGTGCAGACCTTCTCTGCAGCCCGGCCCTCCCCCTGTGTCCCCAGGCAAGTACTTCTGGCGGCTGACTCGGGACCGGCACCTGGTGTCCCTGCAGCCGGCACAGATGCACCGCTTCTGGCGGGGCCTGCCGCTGCACCTGGACAGCGTGGACGCCGTGTACGAGCGCACCAGCGACCACAAGATCGTCTTCTTCAAAGGTGAGCGGGCCTCCCGGGCCCTCTGCCCGCCTCACGGAGGGGGTCCAGCCTGCATCCCGCTGCGTGTAAGCCCCACGTCTACCCAGAGGCTGGTCGAGCACAGAGTGGCTGGTTTGCTTGTGCACTCAGCAGGCACATACTGAGCACCTACTGTATGCCCCATCCTGAGGTAGCCACTGCAGGCACACAGAGGGCGAAATGATGGAAAATCCTGCTGTCGTTCTAGTCGGGGCACAGTCCACCCACATGTCAGGAGGAGCTGATTGCTGGTGCCATTCAGTGTGGTCAGAAATGAAGGGCAGGCCGGGCGCGGTGGCTCACGCCTGTAATCCCAGCACTTTGGGAGGCTGAGGCGGGCAGATCATGAGGTCAGGAGATGGAGACCATCCTGGCTAAGGTGGTGAGACCCCGTCTCTACTAAAAAATACAAAAAATTAGCCAGGCATAGTGGCAGGCGCCTGTAGTCCCAGCTACTCAGGAGGCTGAGGCAGGAGAATGGTGTGAACCTGGGAGGCGGAGCTTGCAGTGAGCCGAGATCACGCCACTGCACTCCAGCCTGGGCGACAGAGCGAGACTCCGTCTCAAAAAAAAAAAAAGAAAGAAATGAAGAGCAATGGGAAGAGGTCTCCTTAAGGAGATGCTGTACAAGCAGAAACTAGGCAACAGTGTTCCAGCCCAGGGAACGGCCGTGCAAGGCAGGAGGAGTCCTACTGGATCCCAAGAACCTCAAAGACGGGGCCGCAGCTAGAGCACCGGGGCCTGGAGGAGGTGCGGGACAGAAGCATGAGGGGCTGTGGCTGCCGGGACCGGGCCTGGAGGAGGCTCAGGACAGAAGCGTGAGGGGCCATGGCTGCCGGGGCCGGGCTGCCTCTTCCCGGTCAGCCCCTTTGCCCCCCGTTCTAGAAACAGCCTCGTGGTGGTGTTGCAGGAAGCACTCCTCTTGCCTTCAAGTCTCCATGAAGGGCAGGAAAAGGAGACAGGAGCAGGGGCAGGCAGGGGCAGCAGGGTTGCAGGACACAGGCCCCCATGCTGTGCTGAAACACCCGGAGTTTCCCTTACTGTCTGGAGGTCACAAGTCCGAAATCAAGGGGTAGGCAGGGTGGGTCTCCTCTGGAGGCTGTCCCAGGCCTCTCCCACGTCCAGTGTCGCCCTCAGCCACGTCCCTCCTGCCACCGCCTCTGGCTTCACACCAGGCTGTCTCCTCCATCTCCGTGTCTTATAAGGAAGCCAGGCCTTGCTCCATCTCCGTGTCTTCTCTTATAAGGAAGCCAGGCCTTGATTCAGGTCCCCTAATCCCATTTGTTTTTCGTGGGGTTTTTTTGTTTTTTGTTTTTTGTTTTTGGAGACAGAGTCTCACTCTGTTGCCCAGGCTGGAGTGCAATGGTGTGATCTCGGCTCACTGCAACCTCCACCTCCCGGGTTGCAATTCTCCTGCCTCAGCCTCCCGAGTAGCTGGGATTACAGGTGCCCACCACCACGCCTGGCTGATTTTTGTATTTTTAGTGGAGACAGGGTTTCACCATGTTGGCCAGGCTGGTCTCGAACTCCTGACTTGGGGTGATCCACCCGCCTTGGTGTCCCAAAGTGCTGGGATTACAGGTGTGAGCCACTGCGCCCGACCTGCCTAATCCCATCTTAACTCATCTAAACTAACACAGCTGCAAAGACCCTCTTTCCAAGTAAGGTCACGTCTTAAGATTCTGGGTGGATGTGAGTTTGGTGTACGTCATTCAATCCAGTGTGGCAGCCACTCCCACAGTCACAGGTGGGACCCTGTTTCCTGGTGGAGGTAAAGGGTGTTCTGTGTGTCTGCCAGGGGAACCGCTTCCTGTCGCTCCATCGCCTGTCCAGCCCTTAGCATTTGACTCGGTCACCCCCGTCACTTGGGAGCCCTCAGGTGACTGTTCCTGGAGGCCTGGTCCCTCCTGGAGGAACAGAGACTGCAGCTACCTGGGGGGCTGAGGCAGGAGGACCGCTTGAGCCAGGAGGTCAAAACTGCACTACACCATGATCATGCACTGCACTGCAGCCTGGGCAACAGAGCACGACCTTGTCTAAAAAAAAAAAAAAATCCCCAAAGACAGTACCTGGACTAAAAAAGAAAGAAGAATGGCTTGCAAACCTCATGACCCATTGCTCCTCACCTCCCCTAGGCGACCCTGTGGAAGGTCCCAGGGTGCCCTGTAGAGCCTTCCCGAGCAGGGTCCCGTAACGTGCAGCTCCCCTGCCTTGCATGGGTTAGAAGTATTCGGGCTGCTTCCCCCAGGTGGACCTGTCTGGTCTGGCGTCTCCTCCGGATCAGGTTCTGGTTTTGCACATCTGGCAGACATGCCACCGAGGGCGTGTGTTCTGAGCCCCGAGCCGCCCTGCCTGGTGATGTTCGCTGTGGTCACCTGGATGTGTGTCTGCAGGTTTCTCTTGAGAACACGTGGGTCTCTTGCCACAGCCTGTCCCACCCCTGTGTCGACTCTGTCCCCTGCACCCCCTGCCCCTGCCTGGTTTCCTAACAGGCGCACCTGTCCTGGTTCCTACTCAGCCGTAGCAGGGCAGGGCCCATTGGTCATCCCGTCATCTCCTTAATACCTCCCCTGCTTACAGACATCACAGACCTTTCCAGTCTCCAGCATTGGACGTTTTTTGGTCATTTTATATTATTTTTATTTTTAAATTTTATTTTACTTTACTTTTTTGAGACAGAGTCTCACTGTGTCACCCAGGCTGTAGTGCAGTGGCATGATCTCGACTTACTGCAGCCTCAACCTCCCAGGTTCAAGCAGTTCTCCTGCTTTAGGCTCCTGAGTAGCTGAGACTACAGGCACTCACCACCGTGCCTGGCAGATTATTTTGTGTTTTTGGTAGAGACGGGGTTTCACCATGTTGGCCAGGCTGGTCTCAAAATTCTGACCTCCGGTGATCCACCCACCTTGGCTTCCCAAAGTGCTGGGATTATAGGCGTGAGCCACCACGCCCAGCCCTGTTTTTTTGGTCGTTTTAAATTGTGGGTGTGGTAAATACAATTTACTGTTTTAACCATTTTTAAGTGCACAGCTCAGTGGCATGAAGCACATTCACGTTGCTGTGTAGCCGTCACTTGTGTCCTCCTCCGGAAGATTTCCAACTTCCCAAACAGAAACGCTGCCCCTGTGAAACACGGATGCCCCTCCCCTCCCCTGCGCACCCCGCTCCGCTTGCTGTCCCATGGCTCTGAGTGCTTCAGGGACCCCATGTCTGTGGGACAGACAGGATCTGCCCTTCTGTGCCTGGCTTGTGTCACTCAGTGGAAGGTCCTCGGGGCTCATACACGCAGTGGCACGTGGCAGGATTTCGTTCCTGGCTAAGGCTGAGCGTCTTTCCGTGGCACGGACGGACTGCATCTCATTTGCCTGCTCACTTGGGTTTCTTCTACTCTGGGCTCCTGTGAAGGACGCTGCTATGAGCATGAGTGTGCAAACGTCTCTCCAAGACCCTGCTTTCCGTTCTTTTGGATTTATACCCAGAAGCCAGAATGCTGGATCATGTGGTAATTCTACTTCTGATGTTTTGGGGAGCCTACGTCCTGTCTCCCGCAGCGGCTGCACGATTTCACACACCTCCGGCAGCGCCCAGGCTCCGCCATCCCCACATCCTCCCGACACGTGTGACTTTCCATGTACTTGACAGTGGGGGTGAGGGGGCGTCTCATGGTGGTTTTGAGGGCGTTTCTCTAGTGACGTTGACCATCTTCAGGTGCTCAATGCCATCTGTGTTTCTTGGCAGAAATGTGTATTTAACGCAGGGCGCGGTGGCTCACGCCTGTAATCCCAGCACTTTGGGAGGAAGGCGGGCGAGTCACCCGAGATCAGGAGTTCGAGACCAGCCTGGCCAACATGGTAAAACCCCGTCTCTACTAAAAATACAAAAATTAGCCGAGTGTGGTTGTGGGCACTTGTAGTCTCCAGCTGCTTAGGAGGCTGAAGCAGGAGAATCACTTGAACCCAGGAGATGGAGGTTGCAGTGAGCTGAGATCTCACCATTGCACTCCAACCTGGGAGACAAGAGCGAGCCTGTCTCAAAGGAAAAAAAAAAAAAAGACTCACACAGTTAGGCCTTGAAGGAGGTCAGGAGGTCCTTTCTGGTCTTTTCGGTGAAGACGTTCTAGCCCCTTGTGCAGAAAGAGTGGTCGGCCAGGTGCGGTGGCTCGCACGGGTGATCCCAGCACTTTAGGAGGCTGAGAAGGGAGGATTGTTTGAGCCCAGGAGTTTGAGACCAGCCTGGGCAATGTAACAAGATTATTTAAAAAAAAAAAAAAGAAAGAAAGAAAAGGCCCGGGCACAGTGACTCATGCCTATAATCCCAGCACTTTGGGAGTCTGAGGCAGGCGGGTCACCTGAGGTCAAGAGTCCACCACCAGCCTGGCCAATATGGTGAAACCCCGTCTGTACTAAAAATACAAAAATTAGCTGGGTGTGCTGGTGCGTGCCTGTAGTCCCAGCTACTCAGGAGTCTGAGGCGCAAGAATCGCTTGAACCCAGGGGCGAAGGTTGCAGTGAACTGAGATCAAGCCACCGCACTCCAGCCTGGGTGACTGAGTGAGACTCCATCTCAAAAACAAATAGTAATAATAGAATGGCACGTCATGGGCTTCAGTTTAGCCCGAGTCATTGTTTCCATCGATAAAGGGGTGGCTGGCAGTGTCCGCAGGCTGGATGGGACGGCCCGGGCTGGGCACAGTAGGTGCTCACTGCGTATCCATGTGGCTGCTGTGATGTGGGGTGATTGCACTGTGGCCGCTGTCCCATCAGGCCCGGGTGAGGGGTCAGGACAAGGGCGGCCGACGCAGGGGAGAAGGAAAGGCTGGAGCCCCCTGCCCTTCGGGGTGGGGCCGAGCCCCGGCCCACAGCTGTTTCTCTCGCCCCCAGGAGACAGGTACTGGGTGTTCAAGGACAATAACGTAGAGGAAGGATACCCGCGCCCCGTCTCCGACTTCAGCCTCCCGCCTGGTGGGATCGATGCTGCCTTCTCCTGGGCCCACAATGACAGGACTTATTTCTTTAAGGACCAGCTGTACTGGCGTTATGATGACCACACGAGGCGCATGGACCCCGGCTACCCCGCCCAGAGCCCCCTGTGGAGGGGTGTCCCCAGCACGCTGGACGACGCCATGCGCTGGTCCGACGGTGAGTGCCGGCTGCGGGGACAGGTCGTGCGGCCTCAGTTTCCCCACCAGGAGATGGTGATCAGGACAGGGCAGCCAAGAGGTTCCCTGAAAGGAGGACGGCCCCAGTCGGTGTGGGCTCTGAGGGTCCCAGCCCCTCGCCTTGAGCTGCCGACCCTGCAGGGGTCCCAGGTCACTCCCCGAAGTGAATTCAGCCTCCTGAATGAGCTGCACTTGGTCGCGCTGCCCTCAGCACTCACTCGCCCCTGCCCTCCGTCAGCCATGCTACTGCCCCAGGGCTTTGGCACCTGCCATGCCCTCGTCTGGGCACACTTTCCTAAGATGTCCATGCAACCCCTCCCTCACCGACCCAGCCCTGCCAAACGCCCTCCTGAGCATCACCCCGTGCTCCCTGCCGTGTCCCACAGTGTAGAAGAAACCTCCCCACAGGGTCAGCTCCAGGGATGGCAGCATCCTCTGTTTTGTTTTCAATGCTGCATCCCCATCACTTGGAACAGCCCTGCACAGAGTGGACCCTCAATAACTCTCCAGTAAGGGAAAGAGACTCTGAGGGTCTCCTGGTCCATTCCCTGCCCCAGCAGACTCCTCCAGAGCTTCCCAGGCCTGTGACCTGCCTGCAGAGCCGCCGCAGCTGAGCAGATGCTGACGCCGTCTCAGATATGATCTGGGTGCCCCCTGCTGTCTCGCTCGAGCTGCCCCTCACCTGGCCCGACCCCCACTGCAGTCCAGTGCAAGCCCCCTGCTGTCTGGCCCCACCCAAGCCCCTCCCGCTGCAGCCCTCCCTAAGCTCAGTGCTCCCTTCTCTTCTCAGGTGCCTCCTACTTCTTCCGTGGCCAGGAATACTGGAAAGTGCTGGATGGCGAGCTAGAGGCGGCACCCGGATACCCGCAGTCCACAGCCCGGGACTGGCTGGTGTGTGGAGACTCACAGGCTGACGGCTCTGCGGCCGCGGGCATCGATGGGGTGGAGGGGCCCCGCGCCCCTCCGGGACAGCATGACCAGAGCCGCTCGGAGGACGGCTACGAGGTCTGCTCATGCACCTCCCAGGCCTCCTCTCTCCCAGGGGCCCCGGGCCCGCTGGTGGCCACCACCTCGCTGCTGCTACTGCTGCTGCTGCCACTGTCACCAGGCGCCCTGTGGACAGCGGCCCAGGCCCTGGCGCTATGACGCACAGCACAGGCCCATGAGAGGACAGAGGCGGTGGGACAGCCTGGCCACAGAGGGCAAGGACTGCGCCAGAGTCCGTGGGAGAGGTGCTGGCACGGGATGAGGACAGGCCACCCTGGTGCTGGAAGGCCGGCAGAGGGCACTGCCCACCAGGGCTGGGCAGACTCAGGCAGCTGGGACGGAGCTGTCCAGTAGCGAGTGACTGTGTGACTGGCAAGCCAAGAGGTGGCTACTCCAGAGGGGTGCCCAGTCAGGCCGCACCAGCCACCAGCCTCCCCCGGCCCTGGAGGGAGCATCCCGGGCTGGGGGCCTGCCTCTGTCTGTGCCGGCGCCGCCAACCCTACCCACACGACTGCCTGGTGCTCCCGCCAGCCCACAGGGCCTCCGTGCCCAGGTCCCCAGTGGGGCCCTCCCCACAGACGAGCCCCCACGCGGTGCCATGGCACGTCCCCCTTGTGACGCTTTCCAGACCAACACGACTTCTCCCTGCTTTGTAGCAGCTTGGCTGGGCTCCCTGGTGCTCCAGGGCCATGGGAGTGGGTGTCCTCGGGCCTCAAGGGGCTTGGCCCTGACCAGGGGCCCACACGCCTGCACTTGGAGTGGAGGCTTCCAAGGAGGTCTGGCCAGTCGTATCTCCCTTGTTCATCAGCCCTTCCCGCCCTGTGTCTCTTCCCTCGTGCCCCGAGGGGTCCCCGAGCCACTCTCACAGACGAGAGTTGAGGCCCTGTGGGGGATGAGCCTCGGTGCTACAGGCAGGGGCATCACAGGTGGGCGGCGGGATTCTCAGTGTGGGAGGTGCCCAAGGAAAGGCACTTGGTTCTTGGGTGAGCCACTTGGGATGCTGCCTGCCCAGCAGCACTGGACCGTGATGCCTGGCCAAGCACCGGGACCTGGGTGCGCCTCAGAGGAAGGGCAGGTGCTCCCTGCACGGGGCTCGTTCTAGCTCTAGCCACTCTTTGTCATTTGCTCCCTTTACTCCCAGCCTCCGGATCCACAGCACCCGGGGTCCCTCACCCCGTCCCCACTGTGACCGGCGAGCGACGTGTCTGTCCTGTGGGACCCTCCTGTTCAGAGGGTGCAGCCGAGCCGCTCTGCAGGGCCCAGTCCTCCCGCCGGCGCACAGGCCTCTAGTCTCCACGGCACAGACGTGGGCTGGCGGGCCTGCCTGCCTGGCCACATTTCACGAGCCCCCACCTTTCGATACGCACATGCAGCTGAGGCCACATTCAAAGAAACCCCCCAAAACCTAAGACCTTTTGGGCACTGACAGGCTTGGGGTGCACACAGAACATTTGGGATTTCACTTTTTTGTTTTTTGAGACAGAGTCTCACTCTGTCGCCCAGGCTGGAGTGCAGTGGTGAGATCTCGGCTCACTGCAACCTCCATCACCCAGGTTCGAGTCATTCTCCTGCCACAGCCTCCCGAGCAGCTGGGATTACAGGCAGGCGCCACCACGCCCGGCTAGTTTTTGTATTTTTAATAGAGACAGTTTCACCATGTTGGTCAGGCTGGTCCCAAACTCCTGACCTCAGGTGATCCACCTGCCTCAGCCTCCCAAAGTGCTGGGATTACAGGCATGAGCCAACATACCTGGCCAAGAGGTAGTATTTGAAAAAAGAAAAGCAGAAAAAAAAAAAATGCTCAACCTGTAAGTATAATGCAAATACAGTGTTCCAAACTCCAAACAATCTGAGCTCCAAAACACTTTTCTGGTCCTGTGCATCTCGGATAAGGAACACTCAGGCAGGGTGTGTTGTTTTGTGGAAAGGATTTCATGTTCATAGAAAGCTGCGCACACAGCATGAGAGTCCTCTGCATCCTTTGGGAGGCGCTGACCATCCTGGGCACACCTCTGTGTCTCCTGGAACCCAGGGTGTCCTCCCAAGGTCAGAGTTGGGAAAGACATGCAGCCAGTGGATCTCAGATCAGAGGATACTGCAGGGACAACCTCACCCAGGACGGCCTTCGTCCCAGCACAGCTCTTGGGCCTTCCCCGACCCCCACGACCTCAGCACGTGTGAGGGCTGCCAGCCTGTCCTTCTGTGGTCCATGCCCCCGGCCCGTCTGCCTGCACATTCCTCGTGATGGGACCTCGGTTCTGTGTCTTCAGCAGACAGTCTTCCATCTTCGCCTGAGTCACCATCTAAACACCTGGAGACTTCACGTGACATTCTGGATTTTCAGTCACTGCTTGTACCCCAGGCTGGGCTGGCCCAACTTGGAGAAGCTGTGCCCCCATGCCCAGGATACAGGGCATCGCCAGCCTGCAGCCACGGTCAAAAACCCTCAGAAGGAGGTCAGAGGACCCGTACCACCCCAGTGAGGGGCAAGGACCTCTTCCCTTCTTCCCTCCACCCTGGGGAGGTCAGCCTGGGGGCCCAGGGTCTCTCTGAGCCACGCGGCCAGGCGCAGGCCCTGGCTGCCTTCAGCATGACCCAGCCTTGTGACCAAGCACACCTCTGCATGGGAGACCCCCGGGGACAGGACACCCTCTCCAGCTCCCGTTACAGGGAGGGAAACTGAGGCACAGTGTCTCAGCTCAGCTTGCTGTGACAGGCTGCTGTAGACCGGGCGGCTTCCACACAGGCATTTGCTTTCCCACCACTCTGCAGGAGTCTGAGGTCAGGATGCCGGCAGGGTTGGGTTCTTAGAGGCCCACTTCCCGATTGAAAGCTGGCACCTTCTCTGTGACAGGCTGCTGTAGACCGGGCGGCTTCCACACAGGCATTTGCTTTCCACCACTCTGCAGGGTGGAGTCTGAGGTCAGGATGCCGCAGGGTTGGGCCCCCTAGAGGCCCACTTCCCGATTGAGCTGGCACCCTCCTGTAGTCCCAGCTACTCGGGAGGCTGAGGCAGGAGAATGGCGTAACCCGGGAGGCGGAGCTTGCAGTGAGCTGAGATCCGGCCACTGCACTCCAGCCTGGGCGGCAGAGCCAGACTTTGCCTCAAAAAAAAAAAAAAAAAAAAATTGGGTTCTTAGAGGCCCACTTCCCGATTGAAAGCTGGCACCTTCTCACTGCCCTCACAAGCCGGAGAGAGAAAGTTCTGGTCCCTTCACCCCCTACCAGGGCACCAGTCTCATTGTGGGGGCCCCGTCCTCGACCTCATCGAACCCAAATCACCTCACAAAGGCCCCTCCTAACACCATCACAAGGGGGGGTCATGGTTTCAAAATGTGACTTTGGTGGCCAGGCACGGTGGCTTATGCCTGTAATCCCAGCACTTTGGGAGGCCAAAGTGGGAGGATTGCTTGAGCCCAGGAGTTCAAGACCAGCCTGGGCAACACCGCAAGACCCAATCTCTACAAAAAACTTAAAAACCACACACACACACACACACACACACGTCTTTGAGGAGACACAGACATTCAGTGCATAACATCCAGGGTGGATGGGCCGAGGCTGCCCAGCGGGTGGGTGGCCTCAGATCCCAGCCATACCTCTACCTCCCTGCCACCCTCCTGGTCTCCTTCAGAAACCCTGCGGGGAGCGGATTGTGGGGGCTTAGGAGACTCTGGCGGGACCCAGATCACCCCAAAGCATCATGAGTGACAGCTAACATGCCTGCTCTGCGATCTGCGACTGCAAACTCACTGAATCCTGGCAGCCACCCCGAGCGGAGGGGCTAGGTTACTTCTGTCCCCCAGATGAGAAAACAGCCCCGGAGTGGGCAGAGAGCTGTCCAAGCCCAGAGTTCAGTGAGGGGCAGAGCCTGAGCTAGGTGTGAAGCCAGGGGGCACACTCTGAGGTCCGGCTTAGAGCAGCACGTCCCGTGCCCAGGTGGAGGGACCACAGGTGGCAGGACACTCTCATGGGAATCTTAAGGACGCCAGGGGACACTGCTCCAGGGCAGCCGAGCTGGACCCATAGGTGTGACTACAGCGTGAGCTGGGGCTGCCCCTCCCAGCTTCCAGGCGGTCTTTAGGGCACCGTGGCTTCAGGGGGGCGCCTGGCTCTGGGCCGCTTCACCCCAAGCTGTGATGGGCCAGGCTGGCTCTGTGCCCGCTCTGCGCCCCGCCCTCCTGAGCCCAGGCCAGGCAGGCAGGACCCCACTGAGGCCGAGAAATGGGAGGAGCCGAGGAGACAGACCCACTGCTGGCCACTCTCCACCTCCACCGGGTCAAGGGCCTTCCACTGTGACTGTAGGACAGGACCCCCCTGGTTTCTCCGCTTAAAGCAGCAGCATCCTTGCCCTCTCGCTCACTCTGTCACCGCCACTCTATTTCTCTGTCTCTAGCTCTCTCTGTCTCCGTGTCTGTATCTCTGTCTGTGTCTCCATCTCGGTCTCTATCTTTCTCTCTCCCTGTCTCTGTCTCTCCTTGTCTCTGCTTGTCTCTGTCTCTATAGCTGTGTCTCTGCATCTGTCTCTCTCTGTCTCTCTGTCTCCCTCCCTTTCTCTGGAGGTCTTCTGGCCTCTGCCGCTGGTCTCCCCTGCACTTGCACAATGGTGGGGACCTGGCTTGCTCCTGTCACATGGCATTGGCACTGGCTCTGGCGGGAGCCTCCATGGGGCCTGGGCTCCTCCCAGCACTCGGCCGGTGCCTGCATTTCTCTCACTCCTTTTTTTTAGACGGAGTCTCGCTCTGTTGCCCAGGCTGGAGTGCAGTGGTGCGATCTCGGCTCACTGCAAGCTCCACCTTCCTGGTTCAAGCCATTCTCCTGCCTCAGCCTCCCGAGTAGCTGGGACTACAGGCGCCGCCACCACGCCCGGCTCATTTTTGTATTTTTAGTAGAGACGGTTTCACCATGTTGGCCAGACTGGTTTTGAACTCCTGACCTCAAGTGATCAGCCCGCCTTGGCCTTCCAAAGTGCTTGGATTACAGGTGTGAGCCACCGCCCCCAGCCTCCCGTCACTCTTTATTCACTCAACAAACACCTATTAAGCCACAGGCACTGTTTCAGGTGCTGGGGCCACAGCCTTGAACCAAACAGGCCAAATCCGTAATCTTGTGAAATCTTCTGTGAAGCTTCCTGTATTCCAGCGGGGAGAAAAGGCAGCCGAGCAGATGGGGCTGTACCTGTGAGAGTGTGTCACCTGTGGGTGGAGTGTGCAGTGATCAGATGTTGGTAGGAAAATGAGGCGGGGGGCGGTGTTTGTTGGGGAGGGAAGCCGAGCCTGCAGGAGCTGAAGGAGGCTGTGCACAGGCCCTGGCAGCCCGTGGTGCTGGGTGCTCTGGGAGGTGCTGGGTGCTCTGGGTTGTGCTAGGCCCTCTGCCTGATGCTGAGTACCCTGGGGAGGTGCTGGGTACTCTGGGGCAGTGCTGGGTGCTCTGGGGCAGTGCTGGGTACTCTGGGGCAGTGCTGGGTGCTCTGGGTTGTGCTAGGCCCTCTGCCTGATGCTGAGTACCCTGAGGAGGTGCTGAGTACCCTGGGGAGGTGCTGGGTGCTCTGGGGCAGTGCTGGGTACTCTGGGGCAGTGCTGGGTACTCTGGGGCGGTGCTGGGTACCCTGGGGCGGTGCTGGGTACTCTGGGGCGGTGCTGGGTGCTCTGGGGC